TCCTTCCTCTTCTTTTCCGTCCACTTCTTTGGAAGCAAGTTAACGCACGCCTACACAGAGGGGGGGAAAAGTCAGAGGGCTTCAGATAATGAGAGCAGAGACAGAGTGTCCCGCTGGTGAAACATCTGCCGTCCAGTCGTGCGCCATTACGCACCAGTGGTTCGGCTGCGGGACTTCACACAACTTGCAGCTCAACTTGAAGCCACTGGCAGCCAACAGTGGGAGCTCCTTCTCCCAACGAGACGACCACATATTAAAACCAAGAGTTTCTCTTTGTCTTTTTCATCAAAAAGAGTTGTGTCATGATTTCCACATCCAACTTTCAGTCTAATAGTCAGTTTTTGGTCCAAACACACAAAAATAATAGTAATAGAATAATACACGTTATTCTAATTTCTCTTTCACGGTTACAACGTGGTTTACCCATGGGAATAAAACACAGAACAGTAATAAGACATGATAACATAGAAGGAAATGCCGCAACATCAGTTTAAACCAGTTTAAAATGAGGCATTTCCTATAAAATATGATGAATAACAACAATAATATGTTACTTATTTATGCAGCAGATACAAGATACAAGATACAATTTAAGTTTCAGTGCCTGTAAAGATAAAAGATAATTTATTAAAATAAGCAAACAACTCAGATAAAATCAAGAAGAGCTTTCAAGTAGAAATGTGTTCTGGGTTACTTCTTGTATGAATGAAGACATTTAAAAATAATGGAATTTGAGTAAACGAACAACTAAGATAAGATTAGTAACATAAAAAGCAAACTCAAAATAAAAATGACAACTGTCCATTTCTTGGAACGTGGATTCAACTCTTCCACTTCAGATCCCAATCGTTGTCCACTTGAACACAGCAGGTCATTTTTGATTCAACTCGAATCAACATTTCTGGACAAAAACAACAAACCACTTTCCACTGATACAACATCCCAGTTCTTCCAACATCACAACAATCAATGATTTCTGTCTTCTATCCTTCCAGGGTGGACAGGAGGACAGTGACCAAAAACCATTTCAGTGTAAAAGTATTATCCTTACTTGAAAAAGTGAGATGAATGTAGAGCCAGATTGAGTCAATGTAAATTTAAGAGCAAGTGTGCCTTTGAAAACTGAAACCATCCCTGGCTGCAGGGATTAAATCAGATTATGTTTTCCATGTCTCGTGAATACAATCAATAAGACACGTTGCATATCCCATTTAATGACCTGTGTCTCACGTTTTTCATAATCCGGCCTAATCCTGCAGATGTCACTGTGAGCATATGTTCCATTTGGAGAAAGGGAACAAACCCAACGCATCATTAGACTTAGAAGGTGTGAAAACCCAGTACAGTGGATTTCATCAGAGGAACGACAGCCTGTTAAAACTTTGGATGACTGCTCCAGAGACTTTTTCTTTTGGCCCCCAGCTCACCCTGCTGTAGTCCAGATTTAGTCAGACATGACCACGCGGCAACTGAACCAACAACTCTGGAATCCTTCTCTCAGAGGAAGAGGAGTGGGGGTTGGGTTGAAATGAGTTTTGACTTTCAGGTACTTTTCGGAGAAAAAAGGTGTCTAGACTGGACATTCTTTTCCTGCCACAGTTCCTCGACTTTGTCTGGACGACCCCCTCCGTCCCTCCCTCGCTCCTCTATGCAGTGCCTGTACTCTCACTCTGTGGTTAATTACCTCCACACTCCCACGATGGTCAATGTAGAGCAGGTGTGGGTTTTACGCAGTCACCCCCCCCCCCCAGGGGCGCCAACGCGAGCTCTGGACGGTGATCCAGAGTTGTGCATTAATAAGCGATGGAAACTTAACCACAGCATTAAGAGATGGAAACCATTAACTGCCTTGTAAGAAGTTTTATGCTCTTTTTCCATCCATACTGTTTGGAGTTTTTTCATGTGTGTCTAAAGGGCCAGGATGAAATTCCACAATATAGTATTCAATTAGAAGCCTTGTTTTTTCCCCTCTGAAATGAATAGCTCCACTCACAGTCTGTGGTTAAGTCCACACACCAGAACAATTTTCTACTACAGCGCTCGCATTAGAACACTCTGTCCCGAAGAGCAAAGACTCGAACGTGCCCTCGCTTCGAATCGGACTCGGCTACCGAGTGTTTCAGCAGCCAGCCGCTGAAGTCCGAAATGTGATTTATTGACGTATAAATACACAAAAATATTAAACTCTTTGTTCTTTTCCAGTCTCGTACTTCACAGAGACAGGGGGAGTTTTGCTTTTGAATCATAGAGACACGTTGTAAACTGCTGAACAGTAGTTTGTCCAGTGTTTGAGGGCGAAGCTGCAGAGGATAAAACCTCCTTCCACTGTGTCTCCAGCAGCGGGGAGACGTTACAGTACAGTGTGCAGGCCTGCGAATGCCTCAGTGTGTGCTGTAATGTGGTCTAGCCATGCCAGCGTGCTGGGAAAATATGTGACTTTTCATCTCCAAGATGCAGGGAGATGCAAAGCAGCTGCTGGTCTGCCCAGCAGCTTGAGGGAAGAGCAGCTCCTGCGTTAGCCAAGTTACAAAGCAGCGACTCGAAGGAGTTGTTATTATGGTGCTCTGCGCTGTTTAAATGTAGGGATCTGGACTGTGGGCTTTCAGAATGAGTCCTGAGTTATGACCCTGGTCAGACATGATCAGTCTCACTTGACCTCCCTTAACAAAACAGTAATGAGTGTGTATGGAAGTCCTCTCTGTATGTGCAGCTGCAACAGTGTACGTGTCACTTTGTATTTGTGGTATTGAAGGTTTTACTTCATTGCTTCCACCAAAGAGGTTTGAGTTTGTTTAATCAGTGTTTATCGCAAAGAATGACTCAGCAGTTTTCAGTAAATATATATTGAATTGTGTGGAGAGTAAATGCAACAGTTCAACATTTTGTTTGATATGCTTTTTCTGTTTTCAGTCTTGACATCACTGTGAGGCTTTCAGGCGGCGTATTGGAAAATCACTGCACACAATTGTTGTTCTTACACTTTGCACATATCAATACTTTAAACATTGTCTTCTCTGCAAATCAGTGTAGTAAATATAGTTATTTTGTTGTCTAATACCTCAGTTTATGAGCAAATACCTGCAAAACAAAGAAATGTGGATCAGAATGTGGAAATCGGGCAAGGTCAGTCCATCCTAAAAATCAGTCTCCATCTGTAAATCAGGAAAACTGTCTGTCACAATGTTTTTTTGCAAAACATTCACAGGCAGAGTTAAGGTCTCTAATCAGAATGTCCTGTTGACTGACATGTTATGGAGTCTGATTTCATTAATCCTCCGCTTCAGGACTTAATCTTGTTTAAGTTCAGCTGCTTTCACAACAAGATAACAAACCAACTACACATGGAGCCAAAGCCTCTAAATAAAAACACTTGAATTAATGGGACATTTTCCAAATTATCAATTTATTGGGGTGGGGGAGCCTTATAAAGTTCTCTTTTAGTTCAGTCAGTTTCTTTTTTATCCTGCCTGCAGAGACTTTTCATTACCTTGCTCAGTGGAGTGAGTAATACCTGTCCTATTAGAGACTGTGTATTCTTTCCCCTGGAATATGAAGGCCTACATGCATAGTTTCCAACACAGATTGATGAAGATCCCTCCAAATCCATTCCACCAACTTGTTATTATTGTTAATATCCCCAAGTGGAATGAGAGCACACTTAAGCCTCAGAAGTGTCTGTAATGCTGACTTTATCCACACAGGAACAATCAAAGAGAGGACGCTGGTGCACCCATGCAACCCCCTCGTCTCCGGCACCGAGCCGTCTCTCCAGAGCAGCTCTCTCTCTCTCTCTCTCTCTCTCATCTGCAGAGGGAAGCTTTTCACATGAAGTTCATTACATCCCCTCTCGGCGTTCACCTCTCAATGCCGCTCTTTGTCCACCGTAATCTCGGGATCCTTCAGAACCGCTAGCTTGAGTTTCACATTGGGGAGTATCTCTGCGAGTTTGGAAGGGATTTCAAAGGCGAGGGGCCGCTATATCATCCAAGCATGGTCCTCATGTCCTGGGCTTATCTTGACCCGGAGTCAAGTTGGCCACATGCTGCAACTGAATAGCCCCTCTCCATATCCGCATGTTGTTTTAACCAAGTTGTCTATGTCGGCTAGAGTTGGGAGAACTTCACAAACATACCTACACTCTGTGAAAAGTGTGCGTTTCTGTGAATTGACCTAATATATCTCACAGGCACTATCAGCCCTGTAAAACGAGGGATATAGCAGCTCATAAACTGACATGATGTCGAAAGGAAACAAATGCAACAAACTATAAAAGGTCCGTTTCAATCTGGACCACTTGGTTTCCATTTACAATAATCCAGGATAGGCTGTGGTGTGATAAAATCCTAACAACTTCCGCGCTCCTCGAGATAAGCCTGCTATGCACTTACAAGACTGGAAGTGATCTGGGATATCAGGCTTTCAAAGCGGGCCGCCGAAGCCAAGTGAGCTTCACTGATGTCCCGGCCGGTGGGTTTTAATCCCCACACAGGCCGCCATTCTTGACAAGAGTGACATTCTTTCTCTTTTTAATTAAGACGTTACCTGTCCACATCAAAAGGCAACTCAGATTAGTCGTTTGATCTGTCTAAGCTCTTTATTACTCTATACGGAACATGTGAAGATTTCAGCCCAACAATGAATTATCTGTTTTGGGCAAGTGTAAGCTGCCTGATGTTCATCAACTCCTCCGCTCTCCGAGACAGAGAGAGCGTCCAGATATGAGGGCGCTCCTCAGCAGTGGAGCAAAAAGATGTCGAGATAAGGAGGAAAAAGAAAGGAAGCAGAGGAGGGAAGAGACAATTATTTGGCTCCGTCACTGAATCGGAAACTTCAATGAAACAATGCACAGGGGAGGCTTGTGTGCAAAATATCCACAGTCCACCCACCCACACGTTAAAATCCAAATCCTTGAGACAGATGGATCAGTCTTACTTTCCTCCTTATAAAGTGAAATGATACCAAAAGCAGACACGGGCTGTTAAACTATTCAAATTATTTTATTTTAACCCCCCTCACCCAAAAAACAGAAGAATATGGCAGATACAGAGAATAAAGGATTACAAATTGCTTCAATGAAGAGTTCCTCTGTTTAAAAAAATAGAATACAAATTAAATTAAGAGCATAGCTAAGACATTAAGGTGTTAATACAACCTGCACATGAGTCTGTAGAACGTAAAAAAACGATTTCATTCTAAATCATCATAATCGTTTTGCTCAATTAGTCTGGATCAGTTATATACAGTGCAAATGATGTGATGAAATGAAGAAATCAGAAGTTTAAGTTTCTGGTTTTAAGGCAGGATTTATTATGTTTTTACAGCAGACCTGAAGCTACAAGTTACTTTAACTATTAGCAGGTTAAAGAATAACAAAAAAAAATTATAAAAAAAGGTGTTAGGATGTTTAAAAAAAATGCTTCACAGTAAAAAAAAAAAAAAAGACTGCATCCTGAAAATGTAGATAAAAGTAATGTTCCACCTGCTGCCTTGTTCGTCTGACAATACAATGACTGTATAACGTATTGTCCTGTACAGTTAATCATGCAGCTTTGTCTTCATATATCCTTTTATAAAGGTTGCTTTTCTTCAATTGTTTTCAGGTTTTTGCAGGCTTGGCCTTTTCCAACCATTCATTTTTACAGTCAGACGTATAATTTGATTCAAGCTGACAGATCGGTGATGTCACAGAAAATGTAGCCGTTTACACTGGCAGAAGTAAAGTCTGCGAGAGCTGGTTTTTTTATACATCAAAGTCTGTTTACAGGTTTTTGGGAGAGCTAGTGAACACCTGGATGTCTGACAGAACTGTCAGCGGTCGGGTTGCATCGTGGGTAATGTAGGATTTAATGTAGGAAGAATGTGACTTGAAAGGAATCTCATAAAATAAAATAATGCATTTTTCTGTTCAGGTAACACTGTGAATACAGAAACACATTTACAGCTTTAAAGTAAAATCAAACTTACATAGAATGTCCTGACATGCTGAGTTGTTAGTACCTGACACATGTGAATAAAAGGAAACAGGTACAACTGACATTACTGTCGTCTTACTGTGGCAAAACCAACTCTGATTCACTTTAAAAGATTCAGGGACATTAAAAATAACAATCTACACACAGTGGTTGTCTGGAAAAATATTGAAAATCAAGTCGGAAAACGAAATGAACAGGGTTCAAGAAAAATATCAGGTCACAAACAGCATTTGTGACATACTGCTGTACGGACAACTTTAACTTTTGTCTCGGTGAAACAGAAGTTCAAAAAGGTTGTCTCGCTTTCAAAAGAAAAAAAACTAACTTATTTGATTTGAAAAAAGTGACATAAATATTAGTCAAGTCTATGATCTAGCATCGAAAAAAGGCACAAATATCAACTTCTAAAAGTAACAGTCTAAAAACACTTACAATAAAAACACTAAAAAAGAAAACAACAGTAAAACAAACCATGGGTGAAATGAAGATATGCATTAACACAGGGGTAAATGTAGAAGCTGTGACAATGTTACTGTAAATGTCTTTTATTCTGAAAAGCACCGTGCTTCTCTGGTGCCTTCGCAGTGATCCTCTCTCAAATGAACTCCCCTCGGAAAGGAAGTGACTGAATGTTTTGCCGTTGCCAGCGGCAGCGCAGCCGGGCCAGCTGCGTGTCCCTCGGGTTCTCAAACTCGGAGAAGGCCAGCTGGTTGAGGATGTCATAAACTCCGGCCCTGGCAGCCACCTACCGCAGAAATACATGAGATGTTAATGAAAAGGCGACACAGCCAGCCAAGTTTTCTTTTTTAATTCATCCATCATGACCACACGAATGCTTTGAGAGCCACTTTCTCAGAGTTGAAACATGTTATCTGATGGTTTTCTTACACGTGCAGCTGTCGCACTGGAACAATAAGAATCTGCTGAGGGTTTGGACACAACAGGAAGTGGTGGAAGAAGTATTCAAATATTCCACTTGTATAAAAATACCAACACCACAATGTAAAAATATTAAATTATAAAGAAAAAACCGTGGAATAACAAGTTAACTTAAAGTGGCAGAGAGCGTACTATTTAGAAAGGTTGGTAATCCTGGAAAAGCTACTGAGAGCAGGGAACATTTTGAAAATATGCATCCAATACTTACGTCCAGCAATCATTTCATTTGTTGTGAATGAAATGATTGGTCGGGTTTATCACACTCCTGCATACTGGAGGTAATGTTGACTATTCAATAAACTGCCGGGTGGTTTGTCTCAAAATTGCAATCCAAACAGTATTTCAGTGCAGCAGTGAGCATCTCCACGTTGAAATCCCACTTTCCAGTAATAAATTGGCGATGTTTCTTATGTAACAACAGGTTTTACTCAGGCAGATGTTATTTTATAAGCCGTGTGTGTTTTGTGTGTAAAATCTTAATCCACCATTTACTTACTACAGCAGAAAGTTTGGTGGAGGAAAATATTTCCAAATTGCACAGCTGCCGCAAGAATTTCTTACCATGTGCTGCTGAAAGTATGAAAGGAATCAAGCTCATCATCCCACAGCAGTTTCATATCGAAGTGTGTTTAGGTGCATATAATAAGTAATGGAGCCTGTGCCCAACGAACTGAAGGGGCACCTGATCACAGGGTTGAGGGTTCGATCTCTGGCTTTTTCTGTCAACATGCCCAAGTGTTCTTGAGCAGGTTTGTGAGTATATGGGTGAATGAGAGGAGAACCTACAACTTAAATACCAACTAGCTGTATTTTATGAAGTGCTGTAATGGGGCATTGACACAACCCCATGGACACAGTGCGTGTTATTCCGTGTTTCTGTGTCTGAGTCATTACCGAACGAATGAGGATAGACAGCTCATGATTAGATTTCTCTAGGGAGAGATAGTTCAGCGCTCTAGTTAACACCAGGTCACGCTGACTCATGGTCTGCTCTGGTTTTCAAACAACAGCAGACTGATGGGAAGCACCACAGACAACCAGAAACATCTGGCCATAAAGTCAAACAATACAAACAAATACAAACAAGCCCCAAAGAAACTTTAAAAGATCACATAAGCCAATTAAAAGAGTGCCACAGCTGGACCAGGTTACTCTTCAGGATACGCTTCAGGAAACGAGTCTGGACCATTACGCTCAGCCTCTACGTTCGATTAAATGAGAGACGAGGCTCTAAGAAAGTTATGTTTATTAATTTCTATTGATCCATGTGTTGATTTTCACAGCTCATCCTCAGACACAGCATGCAGGAGAGTTAAGTCTTCCTGCTTTGAATCAGTGCGGAACGATCAGCTGTCGCCAAGTTTGACCCTTGAAGGGACTCAGGGAATGACTCAGTGGAGGTAACGTCGTTTAAAAAGCTTTGCCAACGTCACCTCTCTTCCTCCTCCTCTCCCCGGGTAGTCAAAGAGTCTGTAAATGTTCAGGGTGATAACTTGTGGAGGCATACTTTAAAACTAGATGAAGAATGAAGAGCACGACTGTGGTTATACTCCTGAGGCTGTGAAGTCGTCCTGTATGATGTGCTGCTAAAATGCACCCTCAGGTTGAGTGCAGGGGAAGACATGCTGGAACAATGAACAAAAATAATAGTATCAAGATTCCCCTTCCACTGCAGTGATTATAGCTTAGCTGGCCAGCTTTGTGCAGGAATAAATAGAAGGCACCACAGAGTGGGCTCCAGATTACCTACTCGCTGACCACACAAAATCAAATCTTGCAATAGATATCATGTAACGCTAACTACTCTGCAGAGTTAACGCTGGTTCGATCTTTAGCTTTTACCAGACATGCACTGAACATTTTCCTCGAATTTTCTGGAGGAGCTGTATGTGACAACGACAAAATACTCAAGTTAGTTCCTGCAGAAATTTTGCAGAGCTTTTCCTTTCCCCAAGCAAAATGTCAGGAAAACATCCGAGTGAGCCCATGTGAAGAATACCGCAGGAAAATTTACAGAGAGCGAATGGGCGTGTTTACATGGGGGAGAAAAAGAAAATAAATATCTCAGGATGAAAATGATCGAGTTATCCACTTGGAATAATGAGATTTGAGAGCTTTTGATGAAAATGGCCAAAGCTGGTGTCGATGTGGAATTCATACGTCATGTCCTGCTTCCAGCGTCTAAAGGAGCCGCCCCTCACCCGAAACCCTAAAATGTCTTGCCGTTGCGAACATGTCTGACTCCGACAATAACATGTTGTGCAAAGTCCGCAAAATGTCCACGCACAATTTCCTGCAGGTTGTCCAGCTGTCTCCCACATTGCTCAGACCTGTGTGGTGTCTCATTCTCAATAGACGATCACGCAGCTTCCATTCTCATGTCATAAAATTGGGTTTGAAAATAAAAAGCACGACTGTATCTTTCAGTTAATGCATGTTTGTGTTTAATGTTTTCCTGGAACGCTACCAGGGAGTTCTTTGGTGGGAACGAATGAGTGGGAGCAGTGAAACCATTAGTCAGTGGATGGTAATCCCAGGAGAAACTCGCTGGTCACCAGGATACTTAACCTGACTCATCTCCTCCACAGCCCAGCTGTCTAAATAACAGTCTGAAACAGTCACAGAGGCTCAGGTCTTGACTGGGGATGAATATTGACTTCTTTTCTATAACCATGAAGAAGAATAATGGCAAAACTTCCAGAATGACTTCTCACACTTCTCCTTTAACAAAATCCATTTCCCCTCAACCGGCCTGTATGTCTAGAATATTGCAAATATATTTTCCTCAGGATTTGCCTCCATCTGTTTACTGCAATATGTTTTTCCATCACCTCCTGACTGCAGACATCTGGACACCTACGTGTTGCCAATATTTTGCATTACCCTGACAACTAGCTGTCATGTCAACAATCCTCACCTCCATACTTTTTAATTACTGATTTTTAATTCTTGGTCTTTGATATATCTATACTGGAAATTGAAAATCTTGCCACAGCTCTGGATCGTTTTAATGGCTCTGCAGTGATAGATATAAAAGCTAAAGCAACAATGAGCAAATCGTTACATCTGCAAACTGTTAAAACACAGAAAAGAATCAAAACAAATCGAATCTTTCAAGAAAAAACATCTTTAAACTCATTAGCCGACTGGAGCAGCGGCTGAGAAGCGAGGAGGCGCTGGTTGTCCCCGCAGGCTGCTATCTCAAAGGCTGCACATGCTTGGCCGGTGCAGAGGGACAGGGAGGCCTCTGTGCCACATATCAAAACAGCTGGAGTGACTGATAGGGTACCTCTCCTGCAGGCATCTGTGGTATGCACTGTACACAAGTCCTGCCATTGTGTGAAGTGCCACGTTTTGGATTAGCAAACATGGATTTCAATTCCAATAACTCCTCTGATGTCTGTGCTCTGATCTCACTACATGGCCCAGAGGCAACATGCCCTAATGACACCAGGGACAATATTTGTCCAGCATGTGCACAATGCTGTAGGAGGCACTATTAACTTGAAACACATGAAGAAATATATCATGTGGCAGTAAGCGCGTTTGATTCTGTAGCAAAACAATGCAAAACACATGCATCCGCAGTTTAAACAATGGGAATGAGTAACAAAAAAGAAAAATAGATCAGAAGCACTGCATCAGCTGACACTGGCTCCTGCTGTGCTCCACTGTTGAGATCAAATCAGTCCATGCACACACACACAAACACATGAATACAGCCCGTGCAGGGTGCAGGACAGGCTGTACTGGTCAGATGTGGCTGGTTGTGTAACCATGATTTCAAATGCATGAACAGTGATGGTGGTGACCCTCGACCGCTGCCTTTGGCGTTGCAGCTTGTCATTGATGATCTTGCCACGGATCGGCAGGCATGATAGGCTTAATGATTGTGCCTCTGGGTTGGTTGGGTCAGATTGGTTGGGCTGCTGCCAGATCCTGGTGCAACTGGGGCAGTAAACACACCGTAATACTGATGGTGGTGGGGGTTAAAATGTATCACATACATAATGTTTTTCAAGCAGAAAATTGGTCTTGTGGAAGTGTTCTCACATGAAGATTAAAAGAACAGTCTTTTTCTTTTATTGATTTTATTCTTTACTTCTATTTATTTGTTCTGTTTTTAAAGGTGCTTTATAAAAAAGTTAGTATTATTATTATTGTTATAATATAATAATAACACTACACAGGATCCACGTGAAACAAAATGTGCAACAAAAGTTGCAACAAAAGGTGCATGAAATACACAAAGCAAACACGTGACTTGTGTCACAGCTGGTGATAACATCTCCGCTCCCTCTTCTCTGGCCGAATGGCTTGCGGCATCAAAAATCCATCAGAATAAAGATCTCTTCAGGATGACACCTAATCCTAATGTCAGTAAGAAGGGTTTCCACAGCAACCATCTCACCAAATGCAGCCTGGCTCTCTCAAATCAATTTCTTCCTTTTAGAGGCACAGCATAACTGATAGACATTTTGCCTTTGGTGAGTAACAGAAAGGATTTTAATGGTTCGGCCAAAAGGTTAAATAATGCAAACTTGGATCTATGCAGCTTCTGCACTTTGTTTTCCTCTTTCGGTCACTTTAGCAGAGAACTGTCCGAGTGGAGCAGTTCAGTATAGTTATCTTCTCTGTGCTCAACACTTATCTGTGCTATTGTTATTTTGCACTGCATTTCAAAGAGATGGCCTGTCAATCAATCAGCGTCTTGGCTGCGCTCTTCAGCACAAACAAACCACTGCTGCGGGATGTGATGCTGACATTTTAGCAGAGTGCACACAGTTATGCAAAGCCATTAACAGTATTTATACAGTATATACACTGAATACTTTCACAGCATGTGTCCGCCTAAATGGTCTTGCTATGTAATCACCAAATCCTGGGGTTGGAATCAAAGCCAGGGAGTTTCTCAAGTGTCACCTCACACCCACCAGACCGCGTCTCACACTATTCCTCACTGTGAACCACATACACTGTAAATATATACAGCAGAGAGAGGGTGTAAAGTAAGAAATTATAGATCATGTCAGGGCTGTGAGTTCAGAAATCCACCCGCTTTCCCTGACCGTGTTAAAGCTTAATCCAACTGTAGGTGCAGTTTGCTCGCTGCAGAATAAGACAGGGCACTGTGATGATGATGATGATGATCATCACGTCAGGTCTCCGGTCATTATGGAAATTGGATTTAATTCATGCAGCAGCTCCATCATATGTCAACCATGTCCCACAGGCAGGATGTTAATGTGATAGGTTCTTCACAGCAGTGGCCGCGGCACCTCCAGCCAGTATCCGGCACACATACACTGAGCATGTGATTTCTGATGTCAATATAATGTTGGTATATATATATCAGCTACTGTATGTGGTCAGGCGTGAACCTCCGGCACCAGCCCAGTTGGTTGTTAATTAAACTTCCTTACAGCCGGTGGAGAAAGTCAATTTATATAATGTGCTACAGGTCTAACTGAGCAAAAAGCCAATTTTCTTTTTAATAAGAATAACAACATAATAACATTACTGACAATATTTCTTCCCTGAGCTTTTTTGAAGTACCCAATGTGCTTGAAAACGGAACAATTTTCTAAATATATTAAATTGTGTGAAACTTTGTTCAAGGCTATAGAGCTAACAGTAAACCAGGAATGTGAACCTCACTGAAGAAGGAATAGGATGTTGAACATATAATTGGACCCTCTGTGTATAATGTGGCCCCTGATTTAGAAACATCCTTGATCCACCACTGCATTAATAATATTTTTCTTTGATTAATCTGAATCTAGTGGGGTAAAAAGTATTTGCAGAGTGGGTGTGCCCAGTAGCAGAAAGGGCATAAATTTCAAGTAGTGAAGTGTAGTAAAATAATAATTTAATAATGGAATGAAGGTACTTCACATTATGTTTGATTACAGTATATGAACACATTAATTCTGATAAAATAAAAAACAAAAAAAGTGCCAACAAGATGAAAAACTACAGACAGATTCAGGAGATACTCTGATATCATGTTATGGTGTTTTCTGCTCCCTGCTTCATGGCAGAGCGTCCCTGGCCTCGGTGTGCACGCCTGTATTTTCTCATGGCATAACTGGGCCATTAGAGTTACTCTGATGCACCACATATATTTGCTTTTCATAACAGGAAGAATATGCACCGATTGACCGCACATATTTCTGTGACAATTGTTTTCATAGCCATTGTTCCAGTCTATTTTGAAATTCCACCTTTTTTTTTTCCTGCTGAGTTCATTCCACCTCAATAAAGACAAAAAATGCGAGAGATGTTCATTCAGTGATTTTCAAACATTCCAGCTTCTTCACGCCGTCTGCTCGAAACGCCAGAAACTGCAGTGAAAACTCCAGCTGAAGTCCAGAGAGTAACTTGTGTGCTTGCTTTACTAATAGGTTTCAGACGCAAACAGAAAAGCCCTTATTCAGCTAGTTAACACATTTGAGAGGCCGTGCTGAATACATGGCTGACATCTTTTAATTAAAAAATACATTAAAAAATGTATATGTGTTAAAAAACACATAATATAGATTGACTGTATTTACACGTTAAAGCCCCCGTGTGCTGTGACCTCAATTGGTCCCCCTGTGTTTGACAACCTGCCAAACTGCTTATTTACCCCCACACGAGTTTAGCATATTGCAACATGCAGTGCATTTTAATTGCAGTGTGTTTCTATATGTGTGTGTGTTGGGTACCACTTACAGACTACTCATTTGTTTGGAATGCACATAAATTCTCCACTTTACTGTAGAGGCACAGGTTGCCGAACGATTAACGCACCAATGAAAACACAGAGATGACACATTGTGAGGAAACAGGCCACAATAGAACCAGAACCAGCTTGTAAATTCCTGGAGGAAAATCCAAATAAAACTCTAGTAACCAGTTCACAATGTGCACTGAGTATGACCACTATCAGTTGTTCCCTATTTCTGTTTTCCATTAACTATTGACACGTATCAAGACTGTCAATGTGTAATCAATGATTTTCTCCTGCCACAATCTTTTTTAAGTGGCAATCAGGTGAGCGCATACCTCCGCCAAAGCCTATATAGCTCTCTTAACTTCCGTCAGGCTTCACACACTCTTCAAGAGCTATAGAATTAGTCCCTGGTAAATTATATATGTCAAAAAGGTGCTGTCTTGCAATGTTAGAGAAAGAAAACAATAATAATCCTGGATTGACCCCCTGATCTGGATTTGCACCGATATTTAATGGGTTTTTCCATGAACCATACCACATCCTTCATGAAAATTAACAAACCAACCAACAATCAAAGGGATGGGGGGTGAAAACAGAACCTCTTTGATGGAGGTAATAACAGATAATCGTACATCAGTCCAGATGGACACCAGTACATCTTTTTCCACCTCCTGTAGAGCCTGAGAGTGACACACACTAATTCAATACACCGCACATCTATTGTGGAGATGGCTCAGCTGTCAGGACTTTCCTTGTATTTCTACTTCCAACAAAGAGGTTATGTTTTCACCCCTGACCGTGGATGTATTCCAACAAAACATTTCTTTAACATGATGTTTTTTTCAGGGATATTTAGGGAACTCATATCTATGAGTGTGCAGCTGAATGGATGTTAAGTAGACTGTTGGGCCTTGTCGGAGGTACTCGCTTCACTGAGCGTCATTCTAGTTCCAAAGAGTGGTTTAATAGAAAACAATAGAGTAGATACCAGTAGAAGTGAAGCAGTAAGATTCTGTACCTGTTCCATCCAGAGAGTGAAGGAGCGCTGCCAAGAGTCTTTCTTCTCTAGATGCAGGTATGTGTTGAAGAGGATGAGGTAAATGTAGCGTTCCAGGCACTGCAGGCTCCTCAGCAGCAGCTGCTGACACTCCTTCTCCGTCTTACCACTTTTAATCTGAGAAAACAGGTAAATAAAGTGAGCCCAAAACAGTTTCCCCCATAAACAGCTGCTAGTAGAATCACTTTGTACATGTTTACACTGTGCACAGCATGAAAAACTGGGCAGGCACATACTGCTTGTGCTGCTTCTCTTCACTGTGACTAGTTAAAAAAGTATCTGCTTCTTGCAATGTGGGTTTGGCCGTTATTGACATTTCATTCATTACAATATATCTACGGAGGTTTTCCAGGTCAGACTTAACAAGCACAGCTAAATCTTCTTGTATACAGCACATCAACACCGGGGTCTGCCCTCATTAAAAGACCTAGAATGTAGTTTTCCCTCCAAGTTGAATTTTTCTTTGGCCCTGAGACATTTGTATTACCAGTTTTTTAGGAAAGACCCCTACAGTTTCAGTAGAAGCAGCTTATCTGCAGCTAAATCAAATATAAATAATGGAAAATGTTTTATTAGCATTAAAACAAACAAGGATAGACAAGATACAGTATGTTAGTGAGGTATGTGTAGTGATTCACAGAAAAATAACACATGAATGTGTTTCCTGGGACTAAACCAAGAACTAATCCCTTCAAAAGTGCACGGCCTAAAGCTCCAGCTCACTGCACTGACATCTGTTGCTGCTAATTAACTAATGTATAAACTGGCCCAACACCATAACAACAGCATGACAACCCATTCATTATGAAGCAAATCATGTCATATTGTGCAACACAATTAATCACTATAGCTTTTCTTTTTTCCCTTCTTTTGTTGCATTAACCGTACGGTGACAGTCGGCGATTGAAGACGCGTGTGGCTGCTGGGATGTGAGTTGTTTTCAGCTTATATAACATTCTCATTCCTGCTCTGTGGTTCTCCTACATCCTACTCCCCACCTCCCCCTGCCTGCATGGACATTATTTACGCTTAGCGCCGACATAACATTGTTTATCTTAGTCGCCTTTAGGGATTCAGCTCCACAAGCGGAGGGTCCATGTCCTCTAAAGTGCAAACTGCATAGCAAACACATTTTGAGTACAGTGCCCAAAGCTTTGACCGACCTGACTTTTACAATACATACACACACACACACACACACACACACGCATGCGGGCGCGCACACACACACACACACATACAAAGTAGCAGTACAGTTGGAGTCGACATAATTTTCTTTCGAGACTCAGAACTTGACCACTGAAATATAATTGGTTAAACTTTGGGTCCAAGTGACAACTGTTCAGAATTTGAAGACATTCCCTGAGGCAGAACAGGCATGATCAAGAAGCCAAAAACATGTTTTGTGAGACTGTCGTGACCTGAGGTGAAAATATGTGCCAAATTTGAAGAAGTTCCTCAAGGTTTTCCTGAGATGCTGAGATGCTAACAAGACCGAAAACATGATTTGTAAGTTCACCGTGACCTTGACCGATGAAGTTCAACCACCGAATTGGAATCAGTTCTGTGGTTAAATGTTTTGAAATTAAATAGTTAAAAAATTGTGTGAAATCATGACATAACACTGTTGAAGTCACATGTCGCCATGAATCCCATCTCCACAACCTCAGCCTTAAAAGACCTTCCTACCTTAAGAAAGCAGTTGATCACATTGTATTCATGTCTAGACCACTTCAAACTGTGTATGACATGGACATAACTTCTACAAAAGAACAAATATTAAAAACGCCACAGGGAGACCATTCTGCCCTGTCGTATTATCTCATCTCTTCACCCTTTCAGTGTTTCCCACAGGTTGTGAATTTACTTGTGGTTGTGGGTGGCATGTCCTGTCATGGTGTGACCCGTTTGCATGCAGAGAATCATGCAGTTTAGAGGGGGGACGGTGTAAATCGGATTACAGGGACATAGAGTAGATCTACCACCCTGGAGACTGCAGCCAATGCAACTCAGACAGCTGTGTGGCCAAAAATTAGTTTGAAGAATAAAGTAAGGCATTAAATATAGATGCATTGAAGATTTAATTTAAAGGGTCTTTACTACCATTATATGACATGGTTTACACTAGCACCAGCAACTAGATCTCCAACTTCGAGTCCCCCACTGTTTACCCTTGTAACTCATGACAAACTTGACTGGAGGTTGTACACGTCACTAACCCTGCCTCCTCCACATTAGCAGATGGGACATGGACAAAAGTAAAAAAAGATATCAAATAAAACATTTCTCAAAGATTGTTCTTATGACACTGATGTTTCTTTAAGAGCTCATTTTCACAGTACCTTTAGTTAGCTTAGTTATTTGATGCACCTAGAGGATGACCCAAGTCTCCCCCCATCCCAGCACTTCCACCCTTCTACCCATGCACCATTTAAAGCATCATAAGCTATGGTCTCATTACAAAGCAACAGAACACCACCAGCTGAACAGGATAGTGAGGACAATCCTCAGGATCACTGGTGCCCCCCTCCCCTTCCTGCTAGAGATTGACCATTAGTGCTTTGAGCCTCCAGCATCATAAGGGATCCACACCTCCCGTCTCACTATCTGTTTTTCCCATCTGCTTATGGGGAAAAGCTGTACAGGCAGAATGTTGAATAGCTTCTAGCTGCAAGCAATCAGGATCATTAGCAAACTGTGCCCCTGTGTCAACATTGAACTGACAACTGCACCACAATGAACAGTATTGCAGTTTAATAGACTGTGTTTCACTTTTAAAGTACTATGTTGAACTACACATATATTTTGTATCCTTATGGTTTGAGTGCTGTGGGTTGGAAGGAAGGACATTTCGTTTTTATTTTGCCTGTGCAGATGCATAAAAAAAAAGTCAAACTACATCCTGAAATCTTAAGCAGCACTAAGGTAGGAAGGATTTCATCAATGCGGCGTGTAGGTGTTGACATCTTATTGCACTGTAAGAAGAAAACTTCCTCACAGAAAACTTTTGTTGTTGTTGCATTGATTGGCATGAACATTTGACCTTATGTGGTATTTTTTAAAGGATAAAGCAGATTTAAGGGTTATCTACTCACAGTTTACCTCAAGTAAATGAAGTGCATTAAAGCCTCAAGACTGCCACAAAAAAAATAATGAAAGCTTGCAAAGTAGGTGGGCTAGCACTCAAGGTAATTTGAAATGTGCACATTGCAGCATAATACGATCATTCCAGGGCTGAATGACGCAACAGAGAGGGGGGGAGTAAGTGGCGTTTCCTGTCCATTCCCAAACAGCCGTGGTCGGATCCCAGTTTTCCAAGCATCTGCAGCAGAGTGGAGGAGAAACTACACCTAGGCAAATAATGGATGTGCTGTCTGTTGTCCATCAACTCTGCCAGGGCAGAGAGCGAGAAAGGAGCCACATGCACACCTAACTTTTCTCAATCTCTCTCAGTTAACATTGACCACAGTGGAAAGGCAGGGAAAACGCTGGTGAACCTGATCTCCCCTTGCACCCTGCACCCCCAGGGGTCTTTCAGCAGTTCATCTCTTAGCATGAAAAGCCACTCTGCCAAAGCCTGGCAGCTATCTGTGCACAAGCCACAGCCAAATACTGAGCGCTCTCTCTCTGTCTCCCCCTCTCTCTCTCTCTCTCTCTCTCTCTTTTTCCCTAACTCTCTCACACACACACACACACAGATCAGTTTGCAATGATTACATAATTCACACCTCTACAATCTGCCGAACCCCATTTCTGCGGTTGCCTTCTGTCTGTCAACATCGACTAAACCATATGTGTGGTTGAGCGGCCTCTCGTGCACTCTCAGAAATTCCTTCAGAAAACAATGTTGGGGAAGATGTGGTGTAGAAGCAGAGCGAATTTCTTCCATTCCATGTAGAGACAGCCTTGAAAGTGTTGGATTTGCATGGATTACATTTTCTTTTGTACAATCCTGTTCTGTGCTAATAATTATAATCCACTTCTAAACACAAAATACAAGCACATGTTGCCAAAAAAGTTTTAATCTTGAAAATGAACGGGGTTAGTTATTTTTTTTAACTTAAAAATGAAAGGAGGAACGTTTCCACTGAGGTGGGAAAGTAGTAGACAGAGAATCCTCTAATCTCGCCTGGCCTTTCAAAAACAAAGGAGGTGACTGGCCCGACCTTCTTCATTATCAGAGGTGAAAACCATTTTTCAGCCAGCTGCTGAGGTGTAATAATGAAGCCGCTCAGCCCTGCTCAGTCCTGAGTGGTACGGGAGGCTGCCCAAACACAGACCACATACCATTGTTGAGAGTCCAGGAATGCTGGCTGGCTGAGCAGAGCTTCCAGCAAGGACAATATGAAATAGAGAGAAGACTTTGAGAAAAAGTGGAGGCAGCGCCACGGCACACAAGTTCATGAAAGCACAAGAGTCCACTTTCTGTTAGACGCAGGGGTGGAAAAACCTTCCTTGAAATTAATTTTCCCTCAACACAAACTCTTCAGATTAGAAACCGCCTCCTGTGACATCAAAGCATTCATTGTAGATATCCAATGCCAATCTACCATTTAAGATGATCCAGTGTATACAAAGAGACAGGAGTGTTTCAGGAGATTTAGGGGGCCCCAGGCGAAAAGGACCAGGGGGCCCGTACCTAAGGATAACTTTTAATAATGTAAAACTCTCCCTAAGAAGCTCAAAGACTCAAAGCAGAAAGTAACAGCTAGCATGGATCTGTCCATAAATTTAAAAAAAAGAACACCTACTCACACTTCTAAACCTAAGTAATAAACAATTTACGACTCATTTGTTGGTTTTATGGGCAGTTGTTGTGCTGGACTACATCTTGGCCAAGAGTTGTGAACGCTTGTCTGGCAACCTCTCCACAGGAAGAGGAAAACCACAACTTACCATTTTTACTCTTCGGTTCCTGCACAGATTAAAAAAAAGAGATATAACGTGAGGCAGTCTCAGAGGTGTTGGAAGCCTGAGGTTAGCTAACCTCCGACTTCCAGTCTTTATCGTAAGCCAATAAAACCATTTCCTTGCTCCAGCTTCATACACTATTTGACAGACATGAGAGTGGCATCACCTAACTCTCGCTAGGAGAGCCAGTAAGTGCAAATTCCAAA